TTCCATAGAATGAAGGATATTTAACTAAATGTATTTACTTGCCATAAATTTACCTTTAAAAAAATTTTATTCTTACTCAAAAATCAGAAATGATTTTTTAAAGTGTTCAATTAAATTTCACGAAGCTGCAATTTGAATGATTGACAGATTTTGTAAAAGTATATGAAAATGGAGCTGGAAAAATGTAATTCAAATGAATCTTTTAATGAATTTGAATTTAGTATTTTTTTTATGATCAGCATAATTTAATGTCAAAAGATTTTTTTATAAGAAATGATATTTATCTGGAAAATTAAAAGTATTGATCTTAAAACAGCCGACGCACAGTATATTTTTAACTATCACCATAATATTAATATTATTTAAAAATAATAAAAAAAAGATCAGCTTTTACTCCTAAAGAGGTTAAATTTAATTTTTATGATTATTATAATTTAGGTGTAGAACATTTGATTATAAACAACCGTATTTACCAAGGAAATGGAAAAATGTAAAAGCATTGATTTTTGAACAGTTGTAATTTTTATAGTTGTTATTATTTAATCTATCTTAAACCATTTTTATTAGAAGAACGTAAATACGAATTTTATAAGTTTCTACTGTATCTATTAAAGAAATATAACTGCTATTTGTACATACATTTTTTTTATTTAATTTATATTATAAAGTTCAGTTGAAGAGAATTATGGACTGTCATTTCAGTTAACAAATATTTGAAAAGTTCGCAGTTTTTGTTTCCTTTAATATAATAATTCACTTTAAAAACTGGGAATTTGAAATATCTTTCACACCTAAAAGTTAATTTACTTTTCGCAAACATCTGGTCACCAAGTTAAACTTACTCACCAAAAAACTCTTTTATTAAAACAGCAAGTATTCGAAAGACTTTCTGAGATCTCATATTCAATACTGCTTTATTCTGATTTATATTTCTAAAAGTAGTTTTGTAGCACATTTGGAGTGACGAACAATCAGCGGAAAGTTTTTTTTCTGCGAACAACGGCTTATTGATTAAATTTTCAAAAACGTCGCTGGGTGGCGCTGCTTTTTTACTCTGTTGTAACTTTTCAAATTTGGTTTCGATTTCATTTGTAGAATAAGCGAGTAACCAGATTGTCATGTTCCTATTTAATTACCGTTTTTTTTAAAGGTTTTAGTTGTTTGCTGGAAAATAAATATTGATTAAGCCGGCAAGGTGGCCGAGCGGTTAGCGCGCCTGACTGCGACGCCAATGTCTGCGGGTTCGAATCTCTGGGCATGGATGTTTCTCTTTCTTGTGTTGTCCTCTGTTGTGTGTGATGTGTGAATGCGGCCCACCCTATAAACGGGTTTGTGGCAGTGTGGCGTGGGAAATGTTGCTCGTCCCCGTGACTTTGGTTCACAGGTGCCCACTGGGTAACGTGAAATGAGTAACAATTCCGGCATCTTCTAAGGCGAAGAATAATGATCAGTGCCAGCCATTTGAAAAAAAAAATAAGAAATATTGATTAATTCATTTCTGATTAACAAGATCGCGGTGCTAACGGAAGAAAAATTTAATAAATGATTAGTAACTTACATAAAACTCAGTTATTACGAGCTGAACTGGAATTAAACCATTTGTTTGCATTTTTTAAATTTTTGAATGTTATTTTATCGAAGCTCTTAGAAGAAAAAAAAATTCGGTTATTTATCGAAGTATTATTCTCTTTGGTATAAAAGTAATTCTTTCAGACAGAATAGTGAAATTGAGAAAATTCCTGAAATCACTTTTAATTTTCGCATGCATATTAATAGTTTGGACTAGAATGTGTTATGTATGTTCTCTGCTTGATTTGCCAAGCGATACCAATTTTTGCTTATTATTTTTGCTTGTAGACGATAAATAATTTTTATTCCTAATTTAAAAAATCATTTAAATTAAGTTGTATTATTCCAAAATGTTATAATTTATAGCCCCGGAATTAATTCCAAATTTGGTTTCCAATTCTAGACTAAAACTCAGTGGTGCGACAGCCCATGGAGGGCCAAGGCCTACTGTGTCCGTCTCAGTTTTTTTGACCTTGGACTCTGGGGTGCAGGAGCAGATGTTCCGGTCAGGTGGTCTGCCAAACGAGGAACACCCTGTGTTTAGTTCCCAAGCATGCTTGGTACTCATTTATCGACCCACTGAAGGGATAAAAGGCTGAGTCAACCTTGCCAGGCCCAAGGATTGAACCCAGGACCTGCGCCACGGGAGCGCGAAGCGCTACCACTCTGCCACCGGGCGTCCAATTCTACGAGATTAAAATTTAAGCGCATTAAATGTAAACGTTATCATATTGATTGTTTACCATTGCAACAATTGTGTTTTTTTATTTACAATTGTGTTTTTTTATGCTGTGTGTGTCACAACTCCCTCTTAGTTTTGAAACACGAGCAAAATATTATGGATAAAACAACACATTTTGCGTTATCAAATAAAGAAACATCTGAAATATTTTCACAGATGCTCAATATGTCAACCTTCTGTTATGGATAGGATTAAAAGTCTAAAACCATCAAACACCAAAATGTCAAAACCATCAAGCACCTGCCGCACTCTCTGCAACATGTTTGCAATCAATGTTAGTGAACACGGTTGTGATCCTTCTTCGTAATTCTGTTGGATTACGGGACATAAACACATAATATTTGATTGACCACATGAAAAAAAAATGACAGCAAGTTAAGTCTGGAGAGCATGTCGGTCATGAAAGAAGTCAATTGTCGTTATCCGACACGGGTCCAATCCAAAGATGACGCAGCTCGTCAGTTAGGAAACTGCGAACATCAGCTAACCTTTAAAAATGACTCGTTGTGATAAAAAAATAGGAGAAAACAAGTTAACCTTAAGAGAATCACGAATGTGAGGTACAACTTTCAAAATGTTCACTATTACCTAAAGGCGGAAGTGTCGGCCGCACACATGAAACCTGCACTCATTGCACTATTAAAACTTTTAATGTTTCATTATTATTTGAATAAAACAGTTGCTACATTCGAAGAATACTATTTTTATAAGCGTAATAAGCCTTCGAGGGAATTGTGACACATCCTGTATTCATATATATTCTTAATATTTTTTTTATTATTGCTAAAAAAAAAATTTAATCGAAGAGATTATTAAACAACAGGAAAATAAGGTAACCTCTATTAATGTTTCAAAACTGAATATTCACTTATTTAATTGCATATATTCTCTGAAAACCGTTCCACATGGCGCTTATAATAAAGGTCAATAAAACTTATATACTTCTTATTGGCTGTAAAACGGCAAATTAGTTTAGATACCGATTTAAATATGTTTATCATAAAATTTGTTCAACAATAAAAAAAAATTGCTGCTTTTAGTTTTCAACCTTTAGTTTGGAATAATAATTAAAAAAATACTTTTAAGAAAAATAATGAATAAATATTGCGAGTAGTTATCCTTAAATTGGGTTTAATGAAATACTTTACTGGTAAACAGGACCTTTATCACTTATACCAGGGCTTCTTAAACTTTTTTATATAGTGACCCCCTTCAAGCTTAGGAAATTTTAAACGACCCCCTCCTCCATATAATGAAATATATATTAACCGTAGATGTAGATGTAATATCGCACTATTTTACAATGTTAATAAAATAAGGATTAAAGAATACGTACCCATTCATTTCACATATATATAATTGGAAACGTTGACGGGATATCGGTCGTAATAAAACACAATAAATAGAATGACATAAAACTATATATATATTTATTCAATAGAAAAAATAAACTTTTGTAACAATTTTTTTATAAGAAAACATAAAACTATATCTATATATTCAATAGAAAAAATAAACTTTTGTAACAATTTTTTTAATAAAAACATATTATTAACATCAAACAATATTAATGTGACGGATGTGATTGTTTATTTTTACACAAATAATTAAATCTAGGCTCAATTTGAGTTAGTGCAGATCGTAATAAATTTTCAACGTTTATTAAAGTTGAACGGTATTTTGATTTTATGTAAGTTAATGTGGAAAAGGCTGATTCACATAAATATGTTGTACAAAATGGCAGTAATTTGTTCATTGCCATTTCCGATAGTAGGGGATATTCTGATTTGATTTCTATCCAAAATTCATGCACAGGCACTTGAGAAAATCTAAGTCGCAAGGTAGTATCACTTGTTAATTCGGCAAATTCTTCTTGTGCTTTTAAGTTTAAAAAATTAATTTCTTCCATTTCAATTGAAAATGGATTGCAAATCCATTGTTGTGTATCGATATCATTGGGAAAATACCTATGCATGTAAACTTCCATATCCTTCAAATGATTAACTATAATTTTTGTTATAGGAGTATCTTTTTTTGAAATATTGTTACTAATTATATACTCGTCAGTAAATGGAAACATTTCGAGCGATCCACTTTCCACTCTGTTCTTCCATATAAGAATTTTTTTAACAAAGGCCTCAAGTTTATTTTTTAACATAAACATATTAACGCAGACTCCCTGCATTGATAAATTCATATCATTGATTTTATCAAAAATATCTGCCAAATAGCATAGCTTGAGAAGCCATAAATTATCTTGAAAATAATCGGCCAAATTAGAATTTTGCTCTGTTAGAAATATAAGAACTTCATCTTTTAAAGTTAATAATCGTTTCAAACTTCGACCTCTTGATAGCCACCTAACTTCAGCATGTAGCAATAAACTTGTATAATCCGAATCCATATCAATGCACAAATTTTTAAACAATCGACTATTAAGTGCTCGACTTTTAATAAAGTTAATGATTTTGACTGCATCAAAAAACACAGTGTTTAATTCTGGTGCAATTTTTTTAACAACAAGTGCCTCTCGGTGAATCATACAATGTGTAAATGTAATATGATCATTTCCAGCTTTAACAAATGCTGTAAAACCAAGATCTTGTCCGGTCATTGCTGCAGCACCGTCCGTGCACACACCAACACAATTTTTCCAATTTAATCCTTCTTTTTCAAAAAACTCATTTACTTTTTTATATATATCTTTTCCACGAGTATGACCTTCCAGAGGACGACAAAACAGTATATCTTCATGAATGCTTCCCTCATAAATATATCTTACAAAAAGTAACAACTGTGCCATTTTTGAAATGTCTGTCGACTCGTCCAGTTGTATTGCAAACTTTGAGCTGTCTTTAAGCCTCATAAGAAGCTGTTGAAATTGATCATTGCTAATGTCTGAAATTCTTTTGGACACAGTGTCATTTGATAATGGAATTTTACTAATTTCAGCAGCATACTGTTTTCCATGAACAATTTCAGACATTCTTATAGCTGCAGGTAGTAAAAGTTGCTCTCCAATAGTAAAAGGCTTTTTCGTTTTTGCTATCAAATACGAAACTTCATACGATGCCAATAGATATTTATCATTCAAAGTAACATACTTCTCCAAAGTGTTCTTTTCTTTATTTGATGTTTGCAAAAGACGCTCAAAATATTCTATTGGCTTTTTTGATAACGTTGCATGTTTAGTATTCAAATGTCGTTGCAGTTTTGACGGTTTCATGCTTTCTGCAGCCAAAACTTCTTTGCAAATTAAGCACACTGGTTGTTCTTCATTGTTGTGAGAAGAGCATGTGAAGCCATACTGCAAATATGATTCGTCATATTTTCTTTTTTTTGTTTTGCTAGAAGTCGGATTTGAAGCACTGCAACTTGGTTGTGACGGCGTGGCAGACTTATTAGTTGGAATTTTAATTAGCCATTTATCCATGATGGTTAAATAATAATAAATAATTAAACAAAATGTAGTTGAACTTTAACGTAATAATTAAAAACACCAACTGAAAATTACACAGTAAATACACACATGTCACTACGAAGACAAAGCTGAGTCCAAACTGAAGTACAAACAGAAAAATAACTACACTCGAATCTTTACCAGTGCAATGACAACAAATTACGATCAGATCAACCCCGACGCATGGCGTGTTCAAAGTGTGCAGCGCACAAAGGCACCGTATCACAAAGACGCCGAAAAAGAAGCTTTAATTAAATTTTTTTTATTATTCTTTTATAAAAATAATATGCCCATTCGCCTAGCCTAGCTTGATTATGCTTCCGTATTGTATGTGTAAGCTGTAAGGCGACGCGGCGTCTGGGTACTTATAATCACTAAGTTACCTTGCAAACACTGACGCCGGCGGCCAGACATCAATGTCGAACGTTCAGTTGAAAATCGAGGAGCGCGTTGTATTTATTATTTTAAATGCTACTTCCATATTTTCCTTTATAGGCCCAACATAACAGTTTTGCATTGCCACTTTTTTCAAAAAATAGTTATAATAAAACTACAATAGTATTTTGTATGATTTTTATTTGTATTTATATTTGTACGTAGTGTGTATACTAATTTTAAAATTTTATTTATAATGATTGAAAAGTATCAGATCTTTGCGACCCCCTTTCAGTAGTCTCGCGACCCCCCTGGGGGTCGCGACCCACAGTTTAAGAAGCCCTGACTTATACTATTTTTATGCTTGCAACAAAGGAATCTGGATCTCCATGTTATTGAACTAGATCCCACTATGCAATTTATCTGTTCAAAGAAAATACTGAAACCATTATCATTTTCATCAAATTTTTACGTACATAGAAATGTCACAAGTAAATTTGCACTTATGTATTTTCCCTACCTGTTCTCTTATTTGAAAGAGATCAGATACCACATAATCAAGATTTGTTTTTAAAGAAAAGACTGAGAAGTGAAAACCCCGTAAAGAATTTAGCATTATCTTAGATGAAATCAAACCCTCTGTCACACATTTGAATACCATTTCCAAAGCATTAAATTAATAATCCCCAGAAACTGAAGCTATAGGAACGACCGGGTAATTTAAATTTGATGTAAATCTAATCTAAATGATATAGTTGAAGGTTTTCGTATCATCATTAGGAAAGAATCCCTAACCGTCGGCAACAGTTCATTATAGAAACTCTAGAGTGATGTGTGCAGCAAAACTTCCTGAAAGTATATCTGAAATTTGAAAAAAAAAAGAGATGAGATACTCCAGAAACCACCGGGATTAAAGTCTGGAATAAAGGGTTTAGACAATTTTCGTGAAAGGGATCACACTACTTTTTTTATTTAATAAAGTTTAAAAAGTGGTATTGGTAAAATAACAGAATCAATGAGTTTTGGAAGCATACGGAAGCTAAAAATGCTTATGAGTATCTCTTGCAGAGGATTTTTTATGTCGGCGAAATATATAAACTATCTCAATAACTTAAATTGGACGATTAAATTAGGGTAGACAATTATTCAAGACTAATAATTTGTGCTTGATCCGTGGTGACTTTGTGGACACTGCACTCGGTTTTCAATGAGATGAGAAAGTTTAGAATTGACTTAATATTTGAAATTCCTAGCTTGTCGAAATATAGTAAATATGATTTTAAATTTGGCATCAATAACGCGCGTTATTTTCAATTATGACACCCCCTCCATTCAAAACACAAATGACAGTGGCAACTTTTGCAGATCTAGAACTTTGATTAAAAGCAAAAGAGGGAGATGTAGGAAATGCTGTTTTTTCTCAATGGGAAATTTCATTATAATGAACTGAAAATTAACATTACCTTATTCGAATAAAGGAAAAAAACATAGATTTCGGCAGAATAAATCATCATCTTTCATATGATCTGAATACTTTTAAAGGCAAGAGAGTATCAGAATTTCATAGCGCGGAATTTAAACACACCAACAATATATTTCACAAAATGATTCTTTCCTATTATTACTTAATTGCGTCATTGAAACTCAGTTCCTTTTAAGCAAGGAGCACGTGGGTAAGTGATACATTTCGAACTTCATGAATGAAAAACGGATGAAACAAATCAAAGCTGCAGTCGACTGCCGAGTATTTGCCTCTAAAACTAATTATTATTGCTATTTGAACTGAAGCATGAAAGAGAGAGGTGTAAAACTGCAAGTAGAGGAGAACAAGAGAGAATTATCTTCTCCTGACAGGGAAAAGGAAGAGAAAAGGTGGTTGAAGAGTTGCCATGGCAACTGAAATTGAGATTCTCCTAAAGAGCAAGAATTAGAGGCACGCATTAGTGGATGATTTTTGAACAGCGCGAAAAGGTAAAAACGGTTAGCTTAAAAGTTGTACAAAACATTTTTTAAGTAAATACTTTAATGATGCTTGCATATACTTAATTAACTAAATTTCAGTTACATTTTTTGATGCGGTTGACAGTTGTGAGACAACTTGTATATATATATATATATATATATATANTATGAAATATTTTTTAAATAACTAAAGTCTTGTCTTTTAAATAAATTTTGTTTATTTTCGGATTTTGACAATTATTATATTCTTATCTGTATTTGATAATTTATGTCACATAACGGCAATAAATAATCAGCCTCATAATATGGTTGTGAGTTTTGTCAAGCATAACTTTATTACATTTGGAAAACAATTGAGATCATGATGTCACAGACAACAACATTATTACCAGATAGCAAGAAATTGGCGACTGTCATTTATACTTATTTGCGAGGTAAGATCTACATTTTGCAATGATGTGTAGATATAAAAAGGTTTCAATGTTCTTTCATGGCGATGACACATTTTGACTTCATCGAAATGTTAACTTCAGACCACAATAAAACCTTTACTGTCACAGTTGCGATGACGCGGCCTATAACGTCTCAACAAGGTAACGATGTGACAAAACTGTGATATGTTCATACCTTAACTAGGTTGTAGTATGATTAATTTGAGACGTGAAAGAAACTACTTTAGTCCCAAATTCATGAAATAGTTAAAATTACCGAAGTTGTAGCAATGAAAAATGTCATAAATACAGGATAAAAAATAAATAAAAGGTATATAATTTAAATTAAAGAAACAAAAGTTCACAGTTTTTAAATGAAATAATAACCATATATCACTTTTTAAAATAATGATGCAGCAAAATATCAAAATAATAAAAAAATATAAAATAATTATATAAATATACAAAAAATGATGATATAAATAAAAGTTAATATATCATATTTATAAATGTTATTATTAATCTTAGTCACATGATATTTATAAAGATATTATACCAAGATTATTTATAAATGTAATGTATTATTTTTAAAAAAATTATTCTATAATGAAATTATAGAAATACAACTAATAATTGTTCGCATAACTAAACAAAATAATTCTTAAAAAAATATGCATTGAAATTTCCTGCATAAACAATTATTCATATTTGAAACTTCTAAGTTTATTGCTATACTTTTTCCTTTTGCTAATAAAAGCAAACTATTCATTTGTTAAAATAAATATGCAAAAAGTTAATATTTACAAAACTTTTTGCTTGTAAACAATGTAAGAAAGCAATGAGTTTTGAATTTTTTTGTAATTAAATGATAAAAGCAAAACAAAAAAGATCTTTTCAAAAAATAAACGAAGAAGATCGTGAATATAACCTTAAATATAATCAAGCTGATTACTTCATAATGTCACATAATAATAAGCTTACTCTTTATTTGAGACTATTTTCTACTAACCTACTTCTCTTCTATCTTCCAATAAACCTACTAGGCCAGAGCTGTGGTTGCTCAGGGTATAGAGCGCTCTCTTCCCAATGAGATGAAACGAGTATAAATCCCATCGATAACTGGTCTATACAAATTCGGCCCCCGGCTCATACCGACAGCAGTGCTGAAGTAAAATATCCTCCGTGGTAGACTGATCATGGACTAGAGTCCCCTTGACGTTAGACTAACCGACTCCCCGCCCCCTTTCGAACCATTAAGAATGAATTCTGGGACTTGAAGATCATTAAATCAAAAGTTATTTGGGTGGTCATAATGTAATGGCTCTTCGGTATACATAGTTTTAAAGAAAGGAGCAATATTCTATTAAAAAAATTTTTTAAACAAATATGTTACAAAGTATGCGTCATTTCACAGAAGCAATTTTTTTTTTCAATGTTAAATTGAGATGCCATTGCAACTATTTATACAGGTTGAACCAGTGAATTTAGCGTTTGTAACTCAATTTTAATTTTCGTCTATAATTTAAAAAAATAAAATTAGTCGCAAATAACTGCTTACTAGTTTTTCGAAATACTGCTCTGTATAAAGTGTAATTGAAACTTTAGTGAGACAAGTCACATAAAAGTGAGCCAGTGATTAATTGGCACGGAGGAGGGGAGGGGGGGGGAGAACAAGAGTAAAGTTCAAATATGTGATGTTTCAAATTCCTGAGTCTTGATTTCATCGATTGTGATAGAGGAGAAAATAAAGGAAAGGGGGAGGGGAGTTGGAGGAAATAGTTCGCCTCTCTCTGATAGGCTGTTAGAGAAGTATCTCTCCTATTTAATTCTAGGAAAATATTCCACCCTTTTCTTTTATTCCAGGAAATAAGTAAGTAGGATGCTGATTAAATTACGTTTACCGGCGCATTTACGCATTTGATAGAATAAACTCCAAGTATCAATTTATCAGATATTGTTAATTGTGTTATTTCAATTAAAGTCTGCCATTTATTGCCATTTGACTCATTATTAACCATCAGTGCACTATTATGAACATTTTGTAACTAATTATCTGTTCGTTATCTTTTAAATAATTTACTACATTATTGTAAAACTGTAACTTTTTTGGCAACTATTATTGCTTTTTTAAATAATTTATTTTATGTTCGTTTTAGCGAGCAAATGTTTCATTACTTTTATAGCAAAACAAGTGACTGATTATTA